AGAACATTAATGAAAGATGCAGACATGGCTAAGTAATGAGAAAAAATTACACTTTTATTAATTTTATCTGGTTTAAAGATGAATTGGATTTCTGTGAATGCATTTTAGAGACACCATAGCTTGGATCATTCATACAATGTCTCAGCTACACAGGTCTTGGAGTTTCAGAGGAAATGTCAAAAACTCAAAAGTTAACAACAGACAACTGGATGGACAACCACATGACAGACACTTGACCTTCAGTTAGGTTTGCTTAAAATTAAAATCCTAATATTTATTTAAATCAATACAAATTACTTTCTATATGTTAATAACAACAGGTTATTACAAGTTATGAAAATTTAATAAATATTAAGAGATTGTAAATTTTAAATTAGCTGTGTATTTCAGGATATTTCTCCGACCTTGAATTTCCCTGACCCATCCAAATCCTTTTCTATTTTAAATTCAATATGGCAATTTCAATCATACTTATAAATGGCTAGTTAGATTATATCATGTGCACAGGCAGAAATGAAGGACTGTATCATTCTTTCTTTACATGAAACCAATAATTCATTTACCAGCATTGATATCAAGAATATGAATACCGGGTAAGCAGAACTAGTTTAAGAACTCAAATTTAAGATATCAATTAGTGTCACAAAATTGATTTTAAGATATATATTAAATTCTATTTTAGTTATAATGGAGTTGTATTTAACTCATGACTTTTAAAGATGAAATTGGTGACATAAATAATTCATGTCTTGCAAAATCAAAATATGGACTGCTTCCTCGGCAGCAAATGTCAGTATGATGGATATTATTGTATCTTTCTATAGTTTCATCAACATTTCTGAAATCATCCAGTACATAACTAGTTAGTGAGTAAATTTGGGAATAACAGAGCAGGCTATTTATATTGTGCATCTCTCCACAACACACAGAGGCATGCTCAAAGCGCTATTATTACCCTGGTCACTAGATCATTGTGCACTCAAGAATTATTCTCAGCTCCCTGGGGAGTATACAACCCAAGGTGCCTGTTAGGAGCTGGAAAGTTAACAACCACAATGCCATCTCATCCTACCGGGTACCCATTCACTGCTCGGTGACCAGCGGCACATTTTGAACAAAGTCACTTGCCCAAGAGACAGCATGTGTTACATATGCTTCAATGTGTGGCAGGACCGAACCCCTAGAAACTCTCAGGAGCCATACTGCCAAAATGCGGTCACCCATCAAAGGACTCTCCGCTACCGACGTTGTTTAACTTCACCTGATTTGTGACCTGTGTGCTGTGCACGGGATCATGTGTGTATGAACAACACATAATCTACAGGGAATTACATATTATATGTCAAGTAATAATAATGTGTACAATCCAGCCTTGGCCAGGGACATTAAAAGTTCATTTCACGAGGGACATAATAATCCATAACACTGAGTGTTAAGTGGTTTCGTATTATCATTACCCAAATTCATTCAGTTTTGGTCATCGCTTACAAATCATATCAGCTTTTGACAACTGTGAGAAATGACTCTTTAGCCATTGAAAGTATCCAGCCATATTTCTTATGCACAACATACATTTTCAAGTTTGTTCACAAAGCCAATGAGCAAATAGTCCTCTAAAAAATGTATTCACTTGAAACAAAACACAGACCTGTGAATTCTGTTTGATCCTACAATAACTAAACACTTGAGAATGATCTATAACAAATAAATCACCTCCACTGTTATGATATGAGTGTAATTAACACTGACAAGCATCATTGCTAGCAAAACAAAAGCCAATCAATGTTGATGTTGGACAGGATGCTAGCGGCATGCATTATATTACATTTGGAGAATCTGACGTCTGAATTTGGTGTCAAAACCAACAGAATATGTCGATTATTCAACAATTCATTTTGTTACGTGTTGATTCCCAAGTTAAAACGCAAAAGTTAATCAAGAAATTGTCACGTACACAACTAAATTGTGAAATCAGTTAATAAACACACAAGATCAATGAATAATTAACAAACTATATTGGAACACACAGGATCTGATAACAAACTGCTGCTTTAAATCCCTGCAATTAGACTGAAACTATTTGGTCAGAGAACTTACAACACTTACACTACACTCTGAACCAACTGCCATAAGAACTGAGACTGTCACCTACCCTTCCATCTTTCAAGGGTGGATTGAAAACACACTTGTGCCATAAATACTACGGCCTCACATGAATTGTGTTCATTATATCATATCTGTAGCGCTAGGAGCATCCACTTGAAAATGGAATTTGGCGCAATACAAATGTATTATTATTATGATTATGATTGTGATTATTATTTCAATAACAAAGGCAATACAATGCGTCAAATATGTATCCAAGTTAATTCATCATTTGTTATTGTGTTTGGTGGAATAAATTACATACTCGAGATCCTGATGTCTTAATATCACAGCAATGTTTTAATTTTTTATTGTGTTCTTCTAAACATAATGTACACTCCACTTACATAGACTTTACATTTCCCAGTGTATTCCAAGATGTAATTTTGCTGATATCAATAAATAATACATACAGTTTGCACATCAGTTTTTCGATTCATCCCCCAATGAACCGAAAAAAATACACAGTCAATCCTTAAATACTGGAAATATTGTGAAAAGTCATGTTCTGACAGTATTATAGCTGTAAGCCTGCTCATTGTGCCCAGCACATCATCTAGCCCTTACACACACAGAAAGTTGATAGTGAATCCTCCCTGCTGAAGCAAACCCTGTTTATCTGGACTCCCTGCCCTCTGGACCAGTGAATTAACTTTTGAGAATATCTTTATCTGAATAAAAGGACATTAGGTGCTGGAATTTATTCATTTGTTACTTGAAACAATTTTACTTGGGACAACGCTGTTTCGATCATGAGGTTTTCTTGTACTAGGGCCCTGTTAAATATAGCAATTAAGACACAATGAGCACAGTCACTAAATAACATAGAGCAAGAAGAATGCTTCCTCGATATTTTTGTCCCATTGTTGCCTCATGCAATTTTTACCAGCATGAAACTCCTATTTTCCAAACACGGTCAAGGGGAGAGGACCCTGATTTCTGCTGATGGTTAGAAGTCTTACGGCTTAACTCCCTTTAAAGAAATTAACAAATAATATTCATTGCATTCTGAAAGAGAAAACAAAATCAAAAGCATACACAAATTCTGCATATACATTCAAAATTTAAAAATCTACATTTATTTGCATTTTTCAAAATGTCAGTTTTGGGTAGATCATGCTGATATGTTGATGATGCTGAATGACAAGAAACAACTATTACAGATGTGCAGAACAACACAGGGTCTGAGAACTAGTGCCAATGTATGGTCTAGACAGTGTAAACTCTGTAATTAGTGCCGTGTTTAAACTTAAGATATTGTGTGTGTGATATGGGTTAGATTCAATGACCATAAATAGTTGAGACAGTAAACAATGTGGTGTTTGAATAATTTGACTCAATCTCGTCCGGACGTCAACAGTCACCCGGCCAGAGACAAGGACCTCTTGAAACATTATTAAACAGTATTAAAGGACAAAACAAAATTAAGAAAAAAAAGACAGGAAAAAAGCTCTAAAAGGAAAAGAAATGTATCAGACACAATCAATACCAGATAAGGAAGTGACAGTCAGAATGTGTTTTCTATCATGCAAAAATGAAATGGATAACACAGGGTATTCTGAATGACAGCTGCAGCACTGAATCTGCCAAAATCATTATCTCTCTCTCACTTCAATGGGATTAAGATTTGAACGGGAAAAGTCTTTACAAAGCCCATGGGAAGTACTGCCATACAATCTCGGCCATCTATTAGACATTCCAGAATTTTCTTTTGTTCAGTTTTCAAATTATAAATCAAGAATTTTGTCAAAATATTTTTCAAAGGGTAATCTGTAATGGAGTGAGTGAGTGAGTGAGTTTGGTTTTATGCCGCTTTTAACAGTATTCCAGTTATATCGAGGCGTGTCAGCTTAATGTGGGAGGAAAGCCCGAAATGATGCAGGTCTCAGACGTTTACCACTTCGGTGAAACCCACGAGCACAGGTATGGTGCTGACAAACCTAGAAACATAATCGGGGCGAACCAGGATTCGAACCCACAATCATAGGTTTCTGGCGTGCCCAAGGGACACAACTACGCACAGCGAATCGCTGTGCCTTAGAAGACTGGGCCACACGTGCCCCCTGTAATGAAAGTCGTATAGCTCCATAAAGCTGCTTTCTCACTGGCTAATGTGGACATGTTTGTCATTTCATTAGTGAGCGAGGAGTATGGTTTTATGCCACTTTTAGCAATATTCCACATGTTCCAGCAATATCACGGCGGGGACACCAGAATTGGCTTCACACATTGTACCCATGTTGGGAATCGAACCCGGGTCTTCGGCGTGACGAGCGAACGCTTTAACCACTAGGCTACCCGACCAGCCCCTTTCTGACTTGACCTGTTATGGGATGTCCTCAGATCTTGGCTTAGCGTCAGTTAGAACTAAGATCTGATTTTAATGAGATTGGGATAAGACATGGGTTTCCTTGTCTTGTAGTGCTCAGATACAGGTGGATGCACACACACAACATACACACAGAGAATGAAAGAATGGTTTAAGTCAGTCCGTGAAGAGTCCTGCCAGCCTATAATACTTGAGCTACAAAACTGATACAAATCCTTGCTCCAGTCTATATTAGGAAAAGTGTGTTAAAATGTTCAAACATCCGGGAAAATAACATTGCAATTTTAAAAGTCTAAGAATGAGATGATTTTGATTTTTTAGTGTTGAAATTGATATTTTTTGATATTCTGACAGAGTGAATGTTGTTTAAAGCTGCAGTCAGCAATATTCCAGCTCTATCACAACAGCCAGGCAACTAGTGACAGTCACAGAGTCCCATTTGTGTCGGATCCTGTGATATTCATGAGGTAGTGGGTCCTGTTCTAACCCAGAGTCCCCTAGGGGGAGATAATCTAAGACAACTTACATCTGTTACACCATCCCACAGAGTGACAGACACCGGCCCAGAGAAGGTACTTCGGATGCCTAGTCTTTTAAACCGAACAGGGTGCAAGACCTGAAACCAGGGAATAATCAACTATGTCAGATCAAAAAACATTATAAATTGAGCATATTATTGATGACATATGGAACACTCCTTAACACCACTGGTATGACTGGTATTGCAATAAAATACAGCTGAACCCCAGTGTGTCGGGGAAATTATTTTCAGTAATTCCAGAGAAAGCAATGCATTATTAAAAAATCTGCCACAGGATACTCATAAAGATGTGTGTACCCAAAAGAATCAAACTGCAAACTGGAAGAAGAATTTTGAGCCATCATCAAACTTTAGATCATAAATTTATTGCACTTATACAGCGAGTGTGAGTGTGTGGATGCTTGTACTAGTTCAGACTAATGTCGGTTTTATAGTGCTAGCCCACTGGGATACCATAATTTCTTATCATTTCTGGGTTTTTCTCTAAACATAAATGGCATTGAAAAATTTCATGATGTCTGAACAACTGCCTGAGATTATCAATTACCACCTGCATATTTAATATGTGAGAAGTACACTTTTATGTGATTTGAAGTAAAATTATTTTTGTATAAATGAGCATGAGTAAGTACTGAGTCACACGTAACACATCTTTGAACAACTATTGCAAGTACATCACACATGAGAACAAAAGGAGAAATACTAACACAGAACATTCTGATTGTCGCTCAGCTACTTGGACTGAAGCATTTGGAAACTATTTCTTGTTTGATATGTTAAAAAAAAAATTGTGAATATTTTATGTGTGTTTCAGTCTCTTTCAGTCAGTTGTGACACAAAAACATCACATTTGATAAATTGAGAAGGTAAACAAATATTTATCACTCATAGTAGGGTATAAGTCATTAATACTTTTTTTAAAAGATGTATTAGCCAATAAACCAAGTTTTTTAGAGGGGAATGCATAAACATGAACTAAGTTGCATAGCAGTTAATGTGTATTGGCCGGAACAACAAGAAAAACATTGTATAACTATTATTTCTGCAATGCCTCGCCTGGCCATGGTATTGTTAGTGTTTAAAAAATATTTTCAATCAAATACTTGGTTTATATAAAAAAATACTTTCAATCAAATAATAAATCATAAAACATAACTTTCAATACAACATTTAGGCATACATCATGTACATAACAAAGTGGTCCTACCGAAACAGCTAATCTTCTGATGACAGTGTGGCTAGACACTTCCTGTGTCTGCATCTTCTGCAGAGAGAAGGCTGCCATGTCTGAATTGTCTGCAACAAACACTGGGTGAGTGAGTTGGGTTTGAACAGTAGTTCGGTTACATCACAGAACCAGCAAAAGACCAAAGACACAGACTAGATTGGTGTAACCCACATGCATGGGTGTTACGTTTCAGTCATATCACAGCATGTCAGCTTGACATGTGAGGAAAGCTCCAAGTGATGCAGGACACAAACAATTACCACTTGCAAGGGTATTCAGAAATATTATAAGTTGTAGCAGGATCAATCAGGGTACATGGAGCTTTATGTGTTCCTCCTTAGGTTTTATACAAGAGGGACGCATAAAACCCCATGTACCCCGAGTGATTCTGCTACAACAAATTTATCATTACCGACATGTTATTGTATGACACTGTAAAGTAGGGAAGAGAATTTGTTCTATCATCTCTACACGCAATGTCGTTGAATTAGCCGAGGGATGTTTGGAGCTTTCAATATTTGTAGGTGAAACTTGTTCCCGCAGTACATAAGCACACACTTTGTTATTAAACAATTTGTAATACAGCTGTATGTTTATTAAACTGGTGATCTCTTCACTGGCAAGTTAAAAATATCAAGAAAAGAACAGGCAAGCAACCCTTGCAGACTACCGACCTCATATTGATGACAATCTCTGCCTAACCACCGTTGTTGGGAACCGTGTAAGAAAAATTACATTTGATTTGAAACATCAATCTATGATCAATTATTACTCCATTCCTTCTTGTAAGCAATGATAAGTTATTCATCAAAACTCCAAAATATTTAACTGTACTCTGCAACATAATCACATCAACATTTCAACAAAAACGGGGATTGAAATCGTGTATTGTTACTGACTTTAATATTTCTTGGTTGAAACAGACATCAACCAATAGTTGATGAAACTGATTAATTGGAACACGCCTGGTCATCCAAGAGGTCAGTCTTGCTCTTACCTGGCACTTCCGGTGTCCACTCTTCACAGGTGTGTGGGTCAAGTCTGTCAGGCGGAGGAATATCACAGGCTTCGTGTCCCACAACGAAGAAAGCCTTCACTCTTGAGTGGTGACAAAAGGGATTGAATTGTAAATTAACATATTGTAGCAAAGTCTTGACAAGAAACAAGGGTCCTGTAATTAAAATAATTAACATATCTTACAGTACCATGCACTACATCATTTTATTACTTTATCCTGTAAGACCCTTGAAAGTAAATATATGGTCTGGTGCCCATTTCCAATCTAATTCTTGGTGTATACATTCGTGTCAATGTAATATAGGGTAATCATCATGACAGCAGACAGTGGTCCGACTTGTAACCAAACTAGTCCCTCATTAATATGTTTAACTCCTGCAGCATATGAAGAAAAAACAAATGTTCAACCCAGGAATTGTCACTACTGGTTACTAATGACCACTTACTTTTTACTTGTAATCATTGTGAGACCTCTCAGCCATGTCTCTCGTATTGCTTGCCTTTGTTCGAAGTTGTTTCTTGCTGACATGATGCACACAGCCAGGTCTAGTTCCTCCTTGTCACTGCCTGTCAATGATCGGAAATGTTAATCCAAGAACCGTCTGAATACTCCTCGTCATGTAGTTGTCTTTAAACTAAGACTACATGTAGGGCTCAGATCTAAATCGGGTTTCTATTCTGTGACAGATTGTCTCATTCATGTTAGAATTACTTGAAAAGTGGGCAATAACATTGTCATATGATGTCATACCCCTGGAGGATGTAATTCCCTGAATGATGTCATACAGGTCACACATGATCATCGTGATGTCAGGGGTATAGACATGTCTTGTATAAGAGTGCCAATGTATCCGTTAAATTCAGAAAGGCATGGTTAAAATCAGTTCTTGAGAAATCACATTTTTTAGCAAAAATACATTGTGACAATGTTTATGAATTGAGCTGGTGATAAAACCTGGAAACTCAGAAATTAAAGAGTGACACCTGCCAAGATACAGTTAATAATAATTCTATTCATGCTGTAATGACAAACTCCACTGTTAACTATGAAATCAGTGTATGCATAGGATCATCGTAAGAACAATTCGATTGATGTGTTTATCCTGAACATGGAAGCTCTACAATTTCAACAACCCATAACAATTTGGTATTCCAAGTAAGTAAAGTCCTTGGTACCCCATGCTTAAAGCGCAGCAAAGTGACTTGTGAGGATATATGGGATACGACGGCTGTTCTGGGACCTTATCTTGCACGGCCGTATTGAGCGTTGCTCATAATGTCAACCACTAGTTTCCTGGGGTCGTAAGCAAATATCATACAGTCAAGTAAGTTGAGTAATAAATAATACACCACAAATTCAGTATAGACACCATTTTGACGCGACATCAACACTCTTTTACGGACGAAATGATTTACCATATTTTCCGTCATTTTTCAGCGTGTCCAGTGCACAGTTGAGAAGGAGGGAAATTAAAACCCCGCTTAGAAAAACAAGTACAAATGTACACGAACACATTGGCATGTCAATAAAGCCAAACAGGTATTTAAATCAGCTGATTCCCGCTGGTCTGACACACGTGTGACAAGTGCCCGGAAGTTCAGCTCAAAGCGCCCTCTATAAACATCGTCTATTTTTTTTTCTATTCCCGGATCAGAGCTTAACCGAAACGCACCTATTTATCATTATTTAGTTTATTTCTCGTTTTTACTCGGTATATGATATACTACAAGCAGATATACTGATATGGATATATCATACATATTACAGTATATAAATGGATTTCTAATGAAGTCAGCTGGAGAAATGTGAGGTATGTTAAATAATTATTCATGTACTGCTCGCATTTTAATTAACAATGGCGACTCCAGAAAGCGTCGTTAGTAGCACTTAGTTACTGGCATCGTTCTTTGGTTAACTAACTTTACGCTCGTGTTTTTATGCATGGGCAACCAAACGGTAGATATATTTGAAACCATCGCATCTTCTTAATCATACGATTTTGTATATGTTTTAAAAAAATTAAAGAATGCAAGCAAAAATGCATTTAAATTTTAGATCGTGTCGCATTTCCAAACAAAATTAATGCTGGTGACTCAGGAACTGGTAATTTTGTTTGAGATTGGTCTTCGGACTGTATCACATTTTGCTGCCGCCCCAAAATTTATGTAATATTTTTGAATGCTCCTCCCCTCCCTATAATTAATAACCAGTCCCTATAATAATATAAAATGTTTAAATTTATAACTTTTTATGTGAAGAAATAGAAATGCAAAAAAGAAATATATTGTAGCATTTTCTCGAACTATTTAAATTTTATTATTTCAGGTCAAAAAGACACTTACAAAAACATCGAAAATGACATTGTCGACGTCTGACTTCACTGAGCACCTCCCCCAGGAGCTTTGTAAGAAGGTGTTGACATATCTAGGTCCTACAGACCTGGCCAGTTTCTCCCAGTGTTGTGTGAGGTGGAGGGAGATGGCAAATATAAACCCCTTATGGTAAATGACATTTGTCACACTTTGTCCTCAACATTATGAGTTGATGTGTTTTGCAGTCTTGATCGAACTATGCCACTAGTCCAAAGCCTGAGTCTAGTAAAATTTTGTTTGGACTATTAAGCTCATGCATGCCAAAAAAATCTATTGAAAATGAGGCCTAAGGACAAGTTTAGGGTGGTAGATTCAAACATTGTTGCCACAGCCTGTGTACGTTAAGGACAGCAAGACCAATATATTTTCTGGACATGTGTTCACTAAATTTGGCAAAAGTGAAATAACAACTGATTTTGTGTGAACAGATTCTTTTTTAACATTTTGTTTTGTGAAATAAAATCAAACATCAACACTGATAACTTTTTGATAATATCATGCCTCTTGGCTTACTGATCAAGAATGTATAGTAATCCGTATGACAAGAAGAGACATGGGTCTCCGTGTACTTTACAGTTCACAGCTTCACATGTAACACAATTCACATGTAACACAATTTGACAAATGACCCCAATTTCATGATTTCTTGGCACTTTTATTGTCATTACTGTGGCTTTTGAGTTAATTTCACTTGCATCTTTAACTGCTTTAGTGCCATAATTCTTCCTGTGTTAGAAAATACTTCTAATTTCTTCCTTTTTTCTTTTTTTTTTTGGGGGGGGGGGGGTTGCACATGCATCATGTAAGATTGCAAGTTGAATTTTTTTGTGTTCTTTTATTTCATTTGTCTGTGCTTGTCACTGCATGTCTGCTGTACTCTCTGTACTGCATGTGTAGGCTGCATCACTGCATGGTCAGACACTGGCTCAAGTTTGGTTTGCACACCGACATTCTCCATGAAGAAACTCTCTACCCCAAGGCCAGCAATGTGTCTGGGACGTCGCCTACTTTCAGTCTGCAGAGTGAGTTGATAGTCACAGTGATTACTGAAGAGAAATCTCAAAATCCACATGATCCTTTTACACATAGAAATGGACAGATATACAGTGAAATCACTGTTAATCCACATAAGGGGTTGATTTAATTTTTAAAATTACAAAGGGCTCAGGTTTGGCCACTTCGCGGCCTCCACCATTTAGTTGTAGGCCAGTTAGTTTAGAGAAGGGCCAGTAACTTTTAAAGGAGCAAGCCCTGTTGGCTACATTCAAATTGTTGTTAAATCTACCCCTGCAGATAGTACTGATCTAAGTTTGATTCGGTTGATGAACAAACTTCTTGATTAATGAACCTTAAGGGCATATATATGTTCCCATTTTAATACGTTGACGTTTCCAAATATGAACACCTGGACGATGGGCTGTTTCTTTTTACGAGATGGGTCAAGACTAACAGTATTCCACTATATTCAATGGCTATATTTGGACAGTTTAACTGCTTGGTTAGTGATAAGTAATTAGTAGATTTGTTTCTTATACAACTTTACTCCTTAGATGTAGTAAATCAGGATAAGTATACCAATGTAAAAAATATTTAGATTGTACTAATTGATTTACTTATTCTGCATTACTACGTCTAAGGAGTAATGCGGGATAAGTATACAACTGTAAAAAATATTTAGATTTTACTAAAATCAATGATTTACTGTTTGTGATTTCCAAGTTCCATGGCAGAATGTCCCCAGTACTCAGACTTGTCATATCATAAGCCGACTAATGATGAATGATAGCTTACAATAAGTTAACTGCAGTTGTTTTTAATGGTGTCAGGTAATTTATTATACCATCTTTAATTCAGCACCAGACTGTAAACAGTATAAACAGTATTTGTATTTCAGTACCAGAGGGCAGCAAGTTGAGTCCTATCTGTAAATGGAAGCACATTTATGTCTGTGTGTGTCACCTTCACACCAACTGGGCTCGAGGTCGGTACACAGTGTCCCCCATCTTCAGAGGTCACAAAGAGAAGGTCACAGCTATGGATTGTGATAGTAAGTCATTCTAATCTTTTTCTTAAAGATTTATTTTACACATGTGTATTCAGTACAATTTCTTTTCAAACAATTAAGTTCCATGTATGTGTAGTAATACCATAATATCAAGTGACTAGAGATTTCCGTATTGTACTGATTTATTCCTGAGACGTTAACGTCCAACATGAAGGTAGCAACTGCATGGCCCCCCAGCATCCAACTGAGTAAGCCGTGAAGACCTGGGTTGGAATAAGTCTTTAGGAACCCATGTTTGCCGTAAATGGTGACAATGTTTGTCGTAAGAATAGACTAACGGGATCGGGTGGTCAGGCTGGCTGACTTGATTGATGTATCCCAATGGCGTAGATCGATGCTCATGATGTCAATCACTGGGTTGTCTGGTCCAGACACAATTATTTACAGACTACCATCATATAGCTGGAATATTGCTGAGTGTGGGGTAAACAGGAAACAAACAAACAAAACAGCCTACGCATCAGCATCCAACTGCCTAGATGCATGCGCAAGGAAACACATCTGAATAGGAGCGCGATTAGGTTTGAGGCCCTGTAGAGGGTCACTGTATTCGACGTAATAAGCACCCCACTGTAATAAGCACCCACATCGAGATTTGCTAACATATTGGCTATTGAACAATCCCAATTAGCACCCCTTCCGACCCCTTTTCGCTTATAATACGCACCCCTTCCTTCCCCTTTTCGCGTATAATACGCACTCGTGTGATATATGCACCCTTTATTATTGCCAATTAAATTTGAAAAACTATATCTGTCGTACATAAACATTTCAAGCTGTCAGCATAAACCATGAAATGTATCTTTCAACTCTGTTTTTTTTCACCAAAATAATATTCTAATAAGAGCCCCCTAGTTCTAATTTTGAGAGCCCCCTGGGCGCTTATTTCGTCGAATACGGTATATGAAATATAGATGTATGCACAGTAAGCATATATGTAGCAGGGCGTGGAGTCATCTCACAGATGGTATCTCTACATTGTCATTTTGCTGATGGGGGTTAACCTCTTTGATCATGTGAACACAGGCATCTAACCTCACATCAGAAGGCCCATGGTTCGAATCCCATCACAGGACTTAGAATTTTATTGCTTTCCCCTGAAAGTTGTTCATCTGAAAACACCACCTTCCAGACATTACTGCTGGAATAACTTACCCATATGTCTGGATGTTAGTTTAGGGGAAAGCTACCATCTGATGAACGGGGTCCCATTGTATACAGAACATGGACCTGGCCTTTTTTTTGAGAACTGACAAATCATGAAAACAAAAGTAGAGCCAAAACGCTCTCTAGTTCACCTGAAGTTTTCATGCCATAACCTGTCTGAAATATTCCTGTAAGCCATAACATCAAGTTTTCCCCCTGTAGATATCAGTATTGTGTTGACCTAGACTTTATTCATCAGTGCATACCCCATGAATAGATATTTTGGGTTTATAACCACTGATAACCAAAACACCCTGCACGGGAGGGTAAATATGAAACAGATTGATTCTACCCCTAGACAATGCTAATAATCATATTTAGCAGCGTTATCATCAGTATGTTGTATAAGTAAACTGGTGTCATTAGTGATGTGATTATTTCCAGACCACTGTATCGTGAGTGGCAGTGAGGACAAGGCACTCCGTGTGTGGGACATACACTCCACAACATGCATCCACACCATCAACTGTCACTCCGACACCGTCACTGCTGTCAAGTTAAAGGTAGGCCTATAATTTCTGACAGTTTTTAAGCTGGGCCAAAAGTATTTTTGAAATATAAAAAAAAGATGCCGTGTTTTTTTAACATCTTTTTGGTTGGGATTATTTCAACAAATGTTTCTTTTTCAAAATGGTGGCCTTGGACAGTGGTAAATTGGCAGTTTCATCGATATTTAGTGAAGGACAATTCAACGACGATTCTGGTTGTTATTGTGTAATCGGGAGTCTGGCAATCTCATTAAAATCAGATCTTAGTTTTCGCTACATCTAAACAAAGATCTGAGGTCATCCCATAACGGGTGACGTCAGAACGACCTTTCGCAAACTTTGACTGACTAATTAAATGACTGATAGAAATCGACATTAGCCAATCAGAAGGCAGCTTTCTCGAGCTTTACGACACAAGTTTCAAACTGGCGACTTTACTTCAAAACATATTTTGACGTATTCTCGATTAAAAATTTTAAAACTGATAAAAAGAACATTCTGGAATGGCTTATAGATGGCCAAGTTTGTATGGATATAATCATAAAACCCGCAACTGTCGTTCGGAATACCCTCTGTTAACAATTTTTGAGGTTGCATGATTAGAAAACACATACTGTCTGCCACTTTCATGATCTGGTAAGCGATGCTCTGATTGGTTGAATGAAAGGTTGTTCTGACGGGACCCGTAATAGGATGTCCTCAGATCTTTGTTTAGCGATAGTGCGAACTAAGATCTGATTTTAATGAGATTGGGAGTCTGGTACAGGGGTAGTAAATTTGGACTCAAATATGATAGATGCACTATATATGTGTTGTGTGACAGTATCATGTAATTTAGTAATGTCAGTAGAGACTGGAACAATTGTCTGAATACATTAACATTGATCTAATTATGATGCTTGATACTATTTTTCAGAATAACATGATAGTGACTGGTTGTGCAGACAGTAGTATCCGAGTTTTAAATTCTTCATCAGGAAAGCTGTGTTTCTCTCTCCAAGGACACAGTGGTAGCGTAGATCACATTCAACTCTCTGGAGACAAAATCATCAGCGCTGGAACTGACAAGTATGGAATTTGATGTTATTATATATTCGAATATATGAAGCTTATTTAAGTATCAATTAACTTTCATTTTCTTAACTTGAAACTGTTAATATGGGTTTTAGAAGTTCTGTATTTGTGCCTGTTTGATAACTTTTGGTCCATCACTGAATACTATGTGTGCGATAACTGTGGGTCCATCACTCAATACTGCATTTGTGATAACTGTGGGTCCATCTCTCAATACTGCATTTGTGATAACTGTGGGTCCACCTCTCAATGTTGCATTTGTGATAACTGTGGGTCCATCTCTCAATGCTGCATTTGTGATAACTGTGGGTCCATCTCTCAATATTGCATTTGTGATAACTCTTGGTCGATCTCTCAATACTGCATTTGTGATAACTGTTGGTCGATCTCTCAATACTGCATTTGTGATAACTGTGGGTCCATCTCTCAATATTGCATTTGTGATAACTCTTGGTCCATCTCTCAATACTGCATTTGTGATAACTCTTGGTCCATCTCTCAATACTGCATTTGTGATAACTGTGGGTCCATCTCTCAATATTGCATTTGTGATAACTTTGTGTCCACCACTCAATACTGTATTTGTGATAACTGTGAGTCCATCTCTCAATATTGCATTTGTGATAACTTGTGGGTCCATCTCTCAATATTGCATTTGTGATAACTGTGGGTCCATCTCTCAATACTGCATTTGTGATAACTGTGGGTCCATCTCTCAATATTGCATTTGTGATAACTTGTGGGTCCATCTCTCAATATTGCATTTGTGATAACTGTGGGTCCATCTCTCAATACTGCATTTGTCATAACTGTGGGTCCATCACTCAATACTGAATGTGGACTTCAAATTCATGTCCTTACTTACACAAACCATAATTTCTCTTCACTCATTCTGTTTTCTCAGGACAGTACGAATCTGGTCAATCAAGGACAGGAAATTATTGTGTATTTTACGTGGACATACAGATGAAATTGAGGTAATTTGATCTGTGCTGTTTGCTCCCTTTGTTCTTTCAGCTAAGAAACCTGTCCATGTGTATTTCAGGGTGCCGTTGTACAAAACAACCTTAGCGCTACAACTGTCATAAGTCTGTGTTAAGGTATGGGTGTTACACTCACCTAAGCGCTAAGATCGCTTTGTACAACAGCACCCAGGTCTGTACTGGTCCTCAGTACCCCGTCATTGTTCTAAGAAACGACTCAGACGAAAATTGTGCAGTCATAATGTTTGACTTCACTGACTGTCTGTCATTTTACCCCGATGGTGAAGAGAGTTGTATAAAATTGTCAGCCACAGTTATTCTGGTTCAGAAACAATTATTTACAGGTCTTTGTGATATAGCTGGATTGTTTGATACTGACTGTCATGTACTGCAGCTTAACACTCCTTAAATAATATCGGGGTTTTTTTTAGATTATAATTTGTTAACCCAGAAATAAACAGAACATGTTCCAAACTGTAACACTGAGTACAAGTAAACATGAAATCAACACAGAGAATTCCAGTGTCTCTCATTCATGATAAAGGAACAAGAAGAAATACCATATTTGATGTATTTGGCACCCTGGTATGTTTTGAAAATTTGTTAAGATGCAGAGATTTCCTTCCCTTCTGTAGTTTTTGTAATATTTATGAAGTGCTTTTGAATTTTGTCTCCATGAGGAGGGTCATGAAAACAATGTACAGAATATTGGGACGGTCAACCAAAAATATGACAAGCAGTAGGGGAGAGTCATTATTTTTAGTACATTAGTGAATCCTAAACCTCATTACCCCTGTAATAAATGAACGGTCCCTAAGTAGTGCCAATCTTTTGGTACCCTGGGGGCCTAATAATTCAAATGGTGTCAAGACAAATACACTTTTACTGTGCATAGTACACTTCAGAGTTATATATAATATGTACAATCCTTCAAAGGATCAGTAGTTATATATATTGTTCTACAGGGTTGTTACTAAACATATAATTGCGGTTCAGAAGCCTTATGAGGAATAATCCCAGTTTCACCTGATTATGTTTCAAGCAGTGGTGTAACAATACGGCAGTATAGAATTATGTCACGATACGAGGCTCACACTGATTTACGACCTCTGTATTGTGATACATACAATGCATTTCATTGCAAGTTATATTGCTGTAAAAACATGAAGAATAACAGAAACTGTTCAACCACCAGCTCATGCAGATTCTTAAATATTTCATGGTTGGACATAAATAGCATAACAATCACAGTGCCCTCTACCAATATGTTTCTGTCTACAATATCCCATCTTTGATCTCTGAAATTTAAAAACAAATGATTTAGGGTTGTGATTCACCTGCAAAAAGAAAGAATATCAACTTGTGAAATATAAGTACTGTATCGAGATACGAATCATATCGCACCCACACCGCATTGTTACACCTCAAGTTTCAAGGTTTGTGAGCACCATACCTTTGCGCAGGGGATTAATTCACTCAAGTCACTGCATCTGAGACCTGCATCACTTTCCTCCCACATGAATGTATTTTTCATTTTTGGACAATAGAACAAATGCTCTCTTTTTTCCTCTCTTTCCCTAAATGATTATATTTCTTCATTGATTACAGTGCTTATCAAATGTCGGCAGCTATGCCTTGACCGGTTCCTGGGACAACACACTCATGCTGTGGGATGTGGAAAAGGGGAGACTACTCTTCCAGCTCTCTGGTCACACAGAAGGTAATCTCACATATGGCTTATATGACTTCATGAAAACCTGGCTGTCCAGGCACCTGTGTATGTGAGTGTGTGAAACTGGCATGGGTTTCAAGTTATTTGGCAATTTGTGTCATTGATTTTGTGTGGAACAATATGCAGATGGGCTTCAGAAAGGTAACTTGTATCTTTATGTTGAATTAAAATGCTTTGTTGCCTTGGAACAGACAGTGTCATCTGATAACTTCTAAATATTATCAGGTTGCCCAAATAATGTGTGTGCAATGGATATTGATGAATTTTACATGCAGTATAGATAAAATTCTAGTAACATAATAGCTCTTTATTGATCCAGTCATGCTACAGGATGTTTAAATTGAAAATGATGTCAAATAAACTATGTCTGTAATATATGTCTGACAAGTCAGAGACAACACTTCTTCTATGAATGGGAGATAACTCTTTCAGCCTTAGTTGGACTTGTTCATGCAGGAGAGGATTTGAATGACAGTAATTTGGAAAATATCAATGTGGATGAGGACAGAGTTGGTTCAGGGAAAACAATAAGTCTGCACCCTTGTTAATCTGGAAACCTGCTTTTACGTAAACATACATACGTATGGGGATTCTGGGAAAGAATACCGTATACATGGTGTGATTTTTTATAAGAGGTGATTCTGTGGACAATGAATGGACCCCCAGGTCTCACCCACCAGTAACTAAAAGATGGGGTCATTTTCAAAAAGGGGTCAAACAACTGTTACTTCCTTTCTTTGAACAAACTGTCAGTCCTAGATGATGCAAGGCCAATAGTGGCAGCAGAACTGTCATTGGCTCGCTTTTCCACTTTGTGTTTGCCTCAATGATCAACAGAATCTGAATCAAAGTCCATGATTCAACTGTGGCATCATTCGTCACCTTTCCAAACCAATCAAAATGTGCATATTGGTCAAAGAATCCCTCAGGAATAATTTTTTATTTTACATATGTCTCGCATCTAAAAATATACCCAAGATACAGTAAAATGTGTTCAATCATACTGTATAGTAGCGCATCTCCCCATGGGCTTTACATTGCATCTGAAATATATATAATATATGGGGGAAATATACGTGAATAATTATGCAACTAGTTGACAATTCTTTTAGCTATGCCCCTTTGCACTTAGACGGAACCCGGTCGCAAAAATGGCCATGGGAAGGGCATGAGTCGCTATTCGGCTTGTCCGAGAATAACACGAATACTGTGGCATGTAACAAAATTATGCCTGAATGGTCTTTTTCCATTGCTTGTTTTACAAAACACTCAAAAAAACTGACATAAAACATTTGGCACCTGCATTATCTTAAACATCCTGGTAGTGAGCTTTACTCATATTAATGTCAGCCAATTGTAAGTTTGATCCTAAACGATAAGAGCCAATCAACCAGCCTGTTTCACATGCCAGGTAATGTAATCATCACATTTTCTGTGACGCTTTGCAGTAATGCTCTTCACAGGGTTAGCTTTTTCTCTGGGTTCTAATCTATGTTGGTAATGGAGGTGGCATGCAGTGGGATGGAGCTTGCTTTGTATACACACTGCTCATGCATTTCCGGTACAACAATGCCTGCATGTGGAGCATGTTGACAGATGTTTCTATTTTAACTTCAAGTTTTCATGGTCATAATATGGTGTTTATAGGAAGTGTTTTTGTATTTGAAAGCAGGCACCCATGTGATGCATTTAGGGAACAATTCTTGCGTCATTATTGAAGTTAATACGTCAGTACAACATTCTACAATGTTTACCGAAAAAATTACAATACATAATTATTTCCTGTTATGGAAAATGGTGAAAGACAGGTGGATTTGTAAAACAAGTGCTTGAATTTGTCAGGCCTTACGAAGACATGATCTATGAAAATTATGAAAGAAGATCTTGAAGAGTACTTTGAATAGTTAATACGCTTCTTGTTGAAGACCATATTATGGTGCTAGGTTAATAATGTAATTAACGTATTTGACGAAATAAGCGCTCCACTCTAATAAGCACCCACTGCGATATTTACTATAAATATATTGGCTAGTGAACAATCCCAATTAGCACCCTTCTGATTGATCAATGTACAGAAGACTTACTTATTCGTGTATAATAAGCACTCATGTGTTATATGCATCCTTAATTACGGGCAATTAAATTCTTGAAAAATATATCTGCCTTGTATAATACTGAAAATACTTTGTTGACTTTCGTTGTTAATGTTAACATAATGTATTTAACATAATTGGAGTAAACTACTTGTCTCTAACTAGTGGCTATGGTGAGCATTGCAACAACTAAGAATTCAATGTGATTAAGCTTTGGTTTGGGGACTTGTAAGTGTCATCTTTTATGGGCCATGAAGAAAGCTAAAGTTGGAAATTTGTAGAAAAATGCAGAAAACATTCATCCAACATAGTGCTTTGACAAGTCCAAATTTACTACCCGGGGTACCCACCCACCTATTACCCGACCCAACCCAACCCAACCCAACCCGACCCGGGTACCTACTGCAGGCCTCAAGAGATAGGTACAAAATGTCCGATTAGGAATAGTTTGATCACAGCCCTTTAGGTACACATATGAAATGATCTGGTCATGCATACACTGAAGTTGACTGAAATTTTATCTTTTTCCAAACATACTATAATAGTCTGAAGGAATGGGAACATAGTCAGAAAGAAATGTGAACATTAGTGACTTGTAGTGTAACCATATTGTTCTACATCATTTTTGTCAATTAACAATATATCACATGACAAACCACAGGTCGGAGTAAGCCTGTGGGTACCCGGGTCCTTCTCAGTACCCACCCGACCCGAGTACCCTATATATTCCAACATACAGTAGTCTCGATGTTGAAATGAACAATTGATGAACCATCCTGACCTTTCAGAATGAGATATATTTCTATTGTGTGTATCAAAGATTTATGTCGGTCTATCTGTGAATAAGATGCTCAATAAGTTACGGGCACCTCTTCCTGAACCTGACCATCCAATCTATTTAGTCACCTCACACAGTACCTGGCTGATAGAGGAGTAGACTTGCACAAGTCTCAAAGGCAAATATTAGTTTAAATCATAATTTCTAGATTATATAAATAATAAGAACAAGTTGTCCCTCCAAGAGACTGGCATCCTTAGTACTGTCCAGTTATCTAGACTTGCCTATCTGGAGGATAGAATTACTATACTCTCATGGACTTATGATTCAGTACAGCCTTGGAGCAAGGCTAATATAAGAGGTCTACCGTACAAGTTGTCCTGCACCATGATTTTTTTTTTGGCTAAAACCTAGGAAAGTCTAGATCAAACTAACCAAGTCTAGTTATCTTGAAAACAGCAGAAGAGGAAAGGTTCTTTCAAAGAAAAAATAATTTAAAGACATGTTTTCATTGACTAAGTGTTAGTCTAGTCTACAAGGAGAGAGCTGAATTTCAGTGCTTCAATTCACTGGCTACATCAAACCAAATGACATTAAAAGATGGTACCTCAAAGATACCATAGTTTCTGCATTGATGTTGCTATAAAAGTGGAAGAATCTTGAACGTATTGTTAAACTGTGACTGTAGCTGAAAGTGGTCCAGACCCGGCTTAGCATCCCGATTCTTACTGGTATTTCAAAATGTACCCCTCGACCCAGCCCTTAATAGAAACTGGCCCTTAGTAGAGGAAATATGGTAAAAAGGATTCACCATGGATGTTGTTGGCATTCATTCTGAAATCTATGTGTCGAGATGTAGTATTTGCACCAGTAAAAAAATATAAACAATGTAACATACATAATCATTGGAATGTGAATTTTCTATTTTTAGAAAATTATTTAAAGAATATTTTCAGTCAGTTTATTTAAAATTATTTTGATTTATTTCTTAGTTGTGTTGAAATGAAGTCACAGACAAATCCTATACATTCCTCTTAAGTCATTGTAAATATTTGACACTTTTTTTAACAAATTAAAATGTCTTCCCCAGTTTGATTCAAACTGTGCCCCGAGGTAAATGACACATTCCTCCTGGTGGGGATTTCACTGGGTAATCCATTTCATGTCTGTCATAGACTAGATCATATTTCATCAACATCTGTTCAATTTGGAAAATTAATGAATCTTTGCAGACTAATAATTAAATCACATTTAGGAGTTGATAATATGCAGGAATAATAGAATTATTTGTGAAGATTAATCGTTGGTTTTATCTCAGCTCATTAGAAGCTATATCCCTATTGTTTGAGGGGTAATGAAGTGTGCTGTAAAGATTATAAAATTTGGACTTGCATGAGAAAAATTGACAAATTTTGTTAGCGGTTTAGAGTACACACAAAGAATTCCTATTATTTCGAGATGGGAAGTACCACAACTATGACACATTGTCAATATCAGTTGTCCCCTTCATTATGACTTGTAAATTTCATTCATTTTCTGATAAATTTGGTTTGACAGATGAATTAATTCACATGGGATGATGTTTTTGATTTCTGCTTGGATAAAACAGGTTGCTTGTCATTATCAATATCGGCAACTCTATCTCACTGAGGCCTTCAGTTTTTCATTGTGTACATATTTCAAATATTGTTGATTTCAACTGACAAAATCTTCTTTGAACTATTGTCGGGTTACAATCAGTCTTTTAGAAAGAAATTTTTGAATTGAGTGTTTGTGATTCTTTAATGATAATAGTGATGACACTGATTTATTTGGATTTGAGTTCATTAACCGTATAATATAAGATAAAGGCACTTTGTTTTCACCAAAATCAAATGGGGTAGAAAGGAGGTTGGCAAATAATCTATTCTAAATGTCAGTCTTGGAGAGCATGTTCTATGCACATCGGAGAGCATGTTCTATGCACATTGGAGGGAATGTTCTATGCACATTGGAGAGAACGTTCTATGCACATTGGAGAGAATGTTCTATGCACATTTGAGAGAATGTTCTATGCACATTGGAGGGAATGTTCTATGCACATTGGAGAGCATATTCTTTGCACATTGGAGAGAATG